CGCTGCAGTGAATAGCGAGCTGTGCAGGCTGAGAGAGAATGAGGTTTTCTATGAGGCTCAGCTGCAGCAGCTGCAGCAGCAGCAGCAGCAGACAGAAGAGACATTTGCTGCTGCAGAAGCAGAGAGAAAGAGACAGGCTCAGTATATATTAAAAACAGATGTAGAGACAGAGAAACTCAAGCAGCAGCTAGCTGCTACAGCTAGCCAGCTAGCCACCACGGAGATACAGCTAGCTACAGCAGTACGTAAAGAGAACGAAGCACAGAGAGAAGCTGCGAGAACGAGAGATGCTGCTGCTGCTGCTGCTGCTGCAGCAGAAGAGAGACATCAGCAGCTGCATGCCACGCTGCAGCAAAGGATAGATGCACTGCAGCAGGAAGCAGCAGCAGCAGCAGCAGCAACACTCAAAAAAGAACAAAGAATAGATAGCTTGCTGCTGCAGGTGAGCGGGCTTCAGGGGGAGCTGCAGCAGCAAACAGCACAGAGAGAGGCCCTAGAGGAGACGCTTGTACACGAGAAAGAGAGACAGCAGCAGCAGCAGCAGCAGCAGCAGCAGCTGAAGCGAAACGAGGAGACTCTGCGTGCTGCAAAGACAGCAGCAGAAGCACAGCTAGCAGCAGAAAGAGCAGCAAGAAAAAGAGACAAAGATATATATGAGGAGACAGTTGAGGAGAGGAGACGGGTGCAGCAGCAGCGGGATGTGCTGCAGCAGGAAGCAGCAGCAGCAAACGCACAACTGCAGCAGCTGCAGCAGCAGACACTTGTGCTGCAGCAAAGGATTACAGATGCAGAAGCAAGAGAGAAGCAGCTGAGAGAGGATGCTAGACAGCAGCAGCAGCAGCAGCTAGATAGAGAAACGGATACAATAAAAAAACATTACGAGCAGCAAAATAAAATAGAGGAGACGTTGAGGGAGACACAGGAGAGACTGAAGGATGCAGCACACAAGCTGCTGCAGCAGGAGCAGCAGCTGCAGCNTTGAGGGAGACACAGGAGAGACTGAAGGATGCAGCACACAAGCTGCTGCAGCAGGAGCAGCAGCTGCAGCAGCTGCAGCAGCAGCTAGAAGAGGCGCAGCAGCAGCAGCAGCAAACACAAGAAAAGGCAGATGGTCTTCAGCAGCAACTGCAGCAGCAAGAGCTGCAGCAGCAAAAAGAACTGCAGCAGCAGCAAAGAGAAGCACAGCAGCAGCGAGACCAGCTGCAGCAGCAGCTGCACAAGCAGCAGCTAGAACTGCAGCAGCAATTTGGTGAGCTGCAGCAGCAGCTGATGCATGCGCAGCATAAGACACAGGCAGCAGAAGCTGCTGTGGAGACACTGCAGCAGGAGAAAAAGGCGGAGAGCAGTGCAGCAGCAGCAGCAGCAGCAGCAGCAGCAGCAGCAGCAGAACAGCAGCAGCAATTCATGGAGAGACAGCAGCAAGCTGCAGCACAAGAAGCAAAAACAAAAGAAGCTCAGCTGCTGCAGCTCAAGGGGACTGTCTCCTCCCTAGAACAACGTTTGTCTCTGCTGCAGCAGGAGAGAGACACGGCAAACAAGAAACTGAAGGAGACAGTAGTGCAGCAGCAGCAGCTGCAGCTGCAGCAGCAGAAGCTGCAGCAGCAGCTGCAGCAGCAGCAACAGATAGCAGCAAAAACTGCAGATGACCTCAAAAGGAGACAGGAGACAGCAGGCAAAGAAAAGGAGACACATGAAAAGGAGAAAAAGGCTCTGGAGCAGCAGCTGCAGCAGCTGCAGCAGCAGCAGCAGCAGATGCAGCAGCAGCAGCAGCACATGCAGCAGCAGCAGCAGCAACTGCAAAGACAAGCCTCACAGGCCTCCATACAGGCAAATACATCGAAGGAGACATTAACGAAAGAAAAACAAGAAAGAGAGAAAGTGCAGCAGCAGCTGCAGCAGGAGACAAAGGAGAAGCAGCAGCTGCAGCAGCAACTAGCAGCAGCACAGGAGCAGCTCAAAGCGCAGCAGCAGCAGCTGGAAGAAGCGAAAAAAGAAGCAGCAGCAGCAGCAGCAGCAGCAACAGCAGCAGCAGCAGCAGGAGAGGGAGAAGAGAAAGTAACAAAGGCTGAGGGTGAGGGTTTAGATACACAAACGGAAGCAGAAGAAGCAGCAGCAATACGAGCAGCAGCAGCAGCAGCAGATATAGAAGGACTAAAAAATATAATAAATAAAAAGACAGAGAGATTTAGAAAAGCAAAAGAGAGACACCTCGATGTTGTTTATAAATATAATAATTTAGTTAATAAATATAATACGCTTCTAGATGATATACAAGCATTCATCAAAGACAACAACCAAAGGTATTTATTTATTTATTTATTTATTTATTTATTTATTTATTTATTTATTTATTTATTTATTTATTTATT